ATGTTGTAAACACCATTGAAAAGAACGGTTTGGTGTGTTGTGGTGTACTGTCGGGCAACAGAAACTTTGAAGGACGTATTCATCCTAATACACGCGCCAATTACTTAGCGAGTCCTTTGTTAGTTATCGCTTATGCAATTGCTGGTCGCGTTGATATTGACTTCGAGACTGAACCATTAGGTGTTGATGGAAATGGGCAAAAGGTATTTTTGCGTGATATTTGGCCTTCACGTTCAGAAATTCAAGAGGTTGAAAACAAACATGTCATACCTGCTATGTTCCAAGAAGTATACAGTGAGTTTCTTTACTCTTATTTTATACATTAGATCCACGTATAAATTTTAATAGAATCATAACTAGAGTTTGGGGTTCGGGAAATCCCGTCCGGGAATTCTCGGGAAAAGTTTGTCGGGATTTCCCGGGAAATTTTTTTAATCATTTCCGGGAAAAACGGGAAATCTTAACTTAACTTGTTTTTTAACATATTTTAGAAAATTTTATAATTTGTCAGCGATTTTTTTAAAGAAAAATTACATAACGCTGTTAATGGTCCTAAAGGAAATGAAAAAATCTTAAATTAAAAACCATTAATCTATTTAAAAGAGAACTAGCTTCACTTAAAGCAAGTACAAATAGAACCAATTAAGACATTTTCATTTATGTATTTCAAACACTTTTGATGACTGTGTAAAGCGTTTGAGATATCTCAGTAACAGGAACATTTTCCACGAAATTACGGAATAGTTGATTTTTTGTTATATTAATTTAATTCTAAGAAGTAAGAATGAATCTTATTAACCCAGCGAAAAAATCGAAGAACTTTCAAAAGAATTACATTTATCAACGTTTCAAAAGTAATACTAAGAGAATTTTTTAGCATCTGTGGAAGTGATGTTTATTGACTTCCAAAAAAGCGAAAATAATTAAATTTTTCAAAACTGACTACATATTCATATCTTTTTATACCCTATACCACTTTAGTGGGGAGGGTATATTGGGTTTGGGCTGATGTTTGTAACGCATTGGTCCTTAAAGTATACTAATCGGCTTAGAATCATTTTCTGAGTCGATTTAGTAATCAAACTACAGGTCGCAATTTTGAAGATAATTCAATTAAATTTGTTACATGATCTTCTATTGTCCCAGGGACAAAGCCTATTGAAAATGGTTAAGATCGGTCCTTTATTTCACCTAGCCCCCATACAACTAAGCCCCTGAATAGGGCGGGCTTGTAAACCTTGTAATCAAACTACAGGTCACAATTTTGAAGATAATTATAAGGTCTCATTTGACAAAGCCCCCTTCAAAATTTGACTTAAATATCCACAATTTTATTCAACAATAAATGGCTTAAATATATCTGAGACAAGGTACAAAAGTTTGGAAGTTCTTTTTTTGCTGGGAGTTTAATAAACTATGAACTAAATATGTTTTTTTTTTTTTGTTAACTAACTATTCCCTTGCAAACATTATCGAATGCAAACATGTTGATTGGTTTACAAGCACCAGGTTCTTAAAAAATCCATGTTGTGGATTATGTAATCCTATAATTTTAGTTTCGAGATTACTCTGATGTAATGCATGTTTGGATTACGTGATCCTCCATTTAACATGTTAAATGTATAATGTTTTTTATATTTGGATAAGTTTTGGTCCAGTCCCTTTACACAGGCGTGAAGAGTAGTCCCAATTTTTACAAGGTAACATAAAAATATCTTTTTATATAAAATTAATTTAAAAAATGGTTTAATTTCTTCTTAAATACAGACCCCCTTATTCACAAACAACATTTTTATTTTATAAAAGTTTTTTAAAAAAAAAGTTTCATACAAAATCTAATTTATAAACCGTTTATAAAATAATGGTCTTATTCATAAACTTTTATCAAAGGTTTATAAATCAAATTTTCATACAAAATTTGTTATATAAATATTTGATAAATGTTTATGAATAAGGCAGTAAGAATTTTGTTTGTGAATAAGCGGGAGAATATTTAAGTTAACTTTAAACTTATAAAAAAGTAGTCATTTTTAGTAAAAAAAAATGTTATTATAGTTTTACATAAATGAATTTTTTCATTCCCGTTTCCCGGGAAATGAAAAAGTCCCGGAATTTCCAAACTCTAATCATAACTCGAAAGTCCGCATTTTTTATTTAATATTACAAAATGTGCGCTATGAAATCTTAACTATCAAATAGTTTTATATGTAAAATATATTATTAGATATTACTTACATATATCATGTTTATATGATTATAGATATCGTCGCCTAAAAATCCTATGCCTAACAACACATTTTCGTTTATGCCGATGTATTGTAAAAAAAAACTCGGACTCTGACCAAAATCAAATAACACCATTTTTATTAAAGACAATTATCTCGCTCTGATTGAAGCTAACTCTTCATTTTATTTCTTATAATTTATTTAATTTTTTATATGTACATATGTATATAGAGATCCCAAAACGAATGAACATGAAAAATATACTTTTTATTTTCAATTATAGGTAAAATAGAGATGGGTTCAGAAGATTGGCAAACTTTGCAAGTTTCTGATGGTAAATTGTATCCATGGAATAAGGAATCAACTTATATCAAACGTCCTCCATTCTTTGAGGGAATGACACGTGAATTGAATAATATTAGTAGCATCAAGAAGGCTCGTTGTTTATTGTTTTTGGGTGACTCAGTCACAACAGATCACATATCGCCTGCAGGTTCCATTGCTCGCAACTCTCCAGCTGCTCGTTATCTTTCGGAACGCGGTTTAACTCCAAAAGATTTTAATTCGTATGGTTCACGCCGTGGCAATGATGCCATTATGGCTCGCGGTACATTTGCCAACATTCGTTTGGTTAACAAGTTAATCACAAAAACTGGACCACGCACCATTCACATTCCAAGTCAAGAAGAAATGGATATTTTCGACTGTGCTGAGAGGTAAATTGAGATTGATTTTATTTTTTATTTTTATACAATTTCAAATATACTGGCTCTCTATAGATATCGTGAAGAAGGTACACCTTTGGTGTTAGTGGTCGGCAAAGATTATGGCAGTGGTTCTAGTCGTGATTGGGCTGCAAAGGGTCCCTTCCTTTTGGGAATCAAAGCTGTTATCGCCGAATCCTATGAACGTATTCATCGTTCTAATTTGGTAGGAATGGGTATCATACCCTTACAATTTTTGCCTGGTCAAAGTGCTGAAACACTCAATTTGAATGGTCGTGAACAATATAACATCAATATCCCAGAACAAGGTCTTAAACCCGGACAAAAGATTCAAGTTGAGGTATGCATTTGTTTTTTGTAATTTGCGTAAGCAACTTATTCGAATAAATAAATTAATATATTTTCAGGCTGATGGCAAAATCTTTGAAACTATTTTACGTTTTGATACTGAAGTCGATATCACATATTTCAAGAATGGTGGTATTTTGAATTATATGATTCGCAAAATGTTGAATTAATTGAAATAATCAATCAGTAATATTCAAATTTTTTACGCATTTTTTATATATTATATAAAACTCTAAAGATTATGGTGATATTGTGTTTATAACCGTTTAATTAATAAAAATAAACAATTTTATTCAATAATCTGACCGTTTAAATTTTTATTAAAGTCAATTATAAAATTTCGTTATTGCACATTTTTCTGAGATTAACGAAGAAATTAGTTGGTAGTGATATAGTTCTAAAGAAATGCACAACAGGCCCGATTGTGGATCTGATGTAACATATGTACATCTTAATTTTAAACTAACTCACTAACTAGTCATAGAGGAAAACAGATCAGAAAGTGCCTGTTCGGAAATGCATCAATGCTCCGCATCTGATGCGTAGTACGTTCGGTAATTCATTACAGAAATGTCAAAACACGTATCATTAAATTGAAGATGCATCGTATGAGTATTTAGATTTTAGTTTATTCAATGAAATTTTCATTTACACATTTTTAATTGCGAATATTTTGTCTACTCATCAGCATCGCAGACAAATCATCAGTCGCAGTGCAGAGATGCACTTCCGAACAGGTCTAAACTCTAATGTCAATAACTCTAGTGATTGCACATACATACATACGTTGTCAAATTTGTGATAGTTAATTTGTTTATATAAAAATTAGTTAATCCGTCTTTATACTTGTCAAATATATCACACATAGAATTTTTATTTGTACTTTTCGATCCAATATTTTTATTATTTTCTTTTAAATCTTTACATTTTTCTAATCGTACATATACGTTTATGTTTAACTTTTAATTGTACAATAGCTTAAGATTAAAGATACATGTAACAAACATTTACAAAATGATTTCTTGTGGCAACGGTCTAGTACAATTGTATTAGTTCCTGTACGTTTAAAATAGTATAAAGAATGTATTAAAGTAGGAAAAACAATGAAAGCATCTATTTTGGGTATAAAATGAAAAATAGTTTAAAACTTAACGATTATAACGAATAATAAATAAACACACTGCAAACTGTGTTCAATTTCATTTTTAATAAATATTTATATTATATTCAAATCTATCAACTATAAAATTAGCTAAAAATAATAATATGTTTGTACAGAATAAAATTTGAATTTATATATTAAATATACTATATTTATCGTAAGTGGTGGTTAGTAACCGAAAACACTTATTTACAATTCCACAAGGAGTTAAATTGTGTGTACATACTCTTAAATCTATAGTGTAGGTTTTACAAATAATTTCACAAAAAACAACAACAGACTCTATTGGGTCATAAATAAGAAATCTTTGGTGAAATCTTGCTGGGTATTATAATGATATTCAAAGGAATATATATTTCAATTGCCGAAATGAGTTTTTGTTAAATTACACTTTTGTGGCGTTTTCCGGTTCAGTGTTTGAAGCATTATTATTTGAATAAATTTATTGTAAATGCATTTGTATTTGAGGACTTCCAATTCAATTGAATTTGTGCATTCCCGCCTCCTAATTACGGTGGGTTCTTTATAATTGATGTTGGATTACCAGCGTATTTGATGTTTGTATTGCTCATCCACGGCAATACGTTTAATAGTTTCATAACCTAAAATTATACTAAATGAGAAGGCAGCTGACTGTACTAAACGCGCCGACAATCCCTTAAAGAAACAATTTAGTTTTTCCTCGCGCCACAACTCTTGAAAGGCTATTTTCATACTGTCAAGTCGATGGACCTAAAAAAACATTAAAATTATCCTTTATTATAAATATGTATATTGATTAACGATTTCATCAGGATTAAATTGGAAATAATTCTTATCGTTTTTATTTTCATTAACATTATTTATCCTAATGTTTTTTAATGAAACGATTTCATTAGTAATTATTTAAAACGAAAAGTTTACTACTATTAATTGCATAGTAGAAAAATGAAAATATGCATATTCTTTGCTAAATAATTTCAAAATTTTTATGTTCGTAAGTAATGAAAAATTAACAAAATAATTTTTAAAACCTTTCACAAACAAATTTACATGGATATATATTTTCCCTCGCTATTTTCTAGCTCAAACTTATATTTTACTACATTTTATAGCATTTTCTTGGAGCAAACAAGTATTTCAACAATTTGACCTTATCTTGATCATGGAGTGTTTTTATCGTTATTCTGCGGCCTCGACTGCAATGGTTTTCTCGAACCTTTTTGGACTCTTAAATTATATTTTTTAATAAAATAATAAATATAACTTAGTTTCAAATTACATTAGAATTACGAATAGCGACGCTTAACTTATTACTCTCTGTAGGAAAGATTTTAATCCTTTCAGGATCAAAAATAATTTATGTCGAGAAAAAACTTGAAAACTTATATTTAAGATAATTTGAGTATGCTGAATCCGGGAAAATAATATTTTTTGAATTTGAGTTCTCACTAGTGAGTTATAGAAGGTCAAAGTTAAATGTCAAATATATTCGAATTCGAAAAACAGTCACCAAAAAGTACCACCAATACTTTCTATGAAAATGTCTTCTTACACTTATCTCAAAACAATACAATATAAATCTGTATAGTCCGGTCTACTAAAATAAACTTTTTAAGAAGTAGTCATATTTAACATCACTGTATAACCTACATGTTTGGGTAATAAATTTGAAACAGGGATAAACGCAGTTCCTATCCTTGCTTTTTTCGTGTTAATGTCGTGGGTCAAATAATGACATTTATTTATATAACAAATTTTAAATTTCATATTAAAAATAATTAATTTTTTTTAATATAAATATTCTAAACTTAAAAGCATTTGCTGCGGAAACTTTTTAGGGATCGGAATGGATAGGTCCTATTTAAAATTAAAAAAATGAAAATGTTAATACTAAGTACATTTTATATACTATGTAGATTTTTCCTTATAACTTTTGAACGCATCGATAGATCTGAACCATATTTTCACATTGTATAACTTGAAGCGAATACAATTTAATAAACGCAAAAATGTTATGTACATTTTTTCTTTTTATAGTTACCTGCAGTCTAGCTCTAACAATATCAAGAGGGTTGGTAAGTATCGTAGTAGTGAATCCACCTAAACTGCCAGCAACGCATTGTATCAGCAAATGGGAAACCCATGGTGGACAAATTCGACAAAGTTCATCTAGTAAAAAAAACGTTTATGTAAATCTTATCTAATTATATGATAATTTTACCTTGGTACAGATGATAAAATGCCCACCACATCGCAGAGTTTGGAACATAGGCCATTAGGCTGGCGGTGTAGCCGCGGTAAAATCCCCGAAAGCCATCCCTTCGCAAAATCTCCCTTGCAATATCAAGCGAAATGTTTAGACGACTTCTGCCTGGTCCTGTTTGTATTCCCAGAGGATTTATATCACCTTTAGCGCCAGCATGATGTGCCATCCCCAGTACCATTGCATGCTGAGATATCACATCAAAGGGAACTATAATTGTCTGACCCACAAGAGAAGCACATCCTCCTCCTATTAGAGCCTTTACTCGGTGACCAGCACCCATATCGTTTAACAGATGACGCACACCTTCATATGTGCTTATATAAAAAACACCCGACACTATTTGCACCGATGATATCCAAAATCCTCTATATAAACCCGGAATTCCTTCGGAGCGGTAAATCTTGTAAGCGCAGTCAAACATTCCCTTGTACACATCACTTCTGTGCTGCACTTGCAGTTGGGTCTTTATCACTGTTAAGGGAAAGAGACAACAACGAACGGAAAACGAACTCAACATTGACAGTGGAAAAAATTTTGTTTTATCCATCATGTCCCATTCTATTGTACGTATGTATGGAGCATCTAAGGTGTTGCTGGAACCACTGGTAACACCGGATGCCACAGTAATTGCTGTGCGATTCATTTCTAATTATCTTTTCGACCTTGGCCCAGTGTTAAAGAAACGTTTGGTTTTTATTTATCGTCAACAAACACACTCACTCACACACACTGGCCACAATATTCCTTAGGTCATGAGTTCATATGTAATACCAATTATTTTACAAAATATAGGTATATGTGTATGGAAAAGTCTAAAATAAAAAATATACAAAAATATGACATATGTATGTATGTAGGTATAAGAAATAAAATAATCATCTTTTCCTATTTATTATAAAATAATACAAATTGAACTTGAACATTGGCAATCGAAATAAGACCTTGAGGATCTACAAGATAAAAAGAAGAGCTCGGACTTTGCTCTGAGTATTTTAAAATCATATTTACCCATTTTTAATTGATTTTGTATTTTTCGCATAGTTCACAACTCATCAGACAATATCAAATTATGTTTACGCCGTTTATACTCATTATATAATTCCTTTTTAATCAATGTAGTCTTTTACTAGCAAAAAATAAGTATCTAATGGTGATTTTTGCATCAGCCCTATATAACAACTATCACACATACTCACGGAATTACGCACAATGTTTTTCTGTCGCATGATGTTATTCCAATTCTAAAACTTCAGTTTGACTACCGTATACAATTGCAGATCTAACAATCTACGTCATTTCTATTTAGTTCCCATTTTTAACTCATCTTCTCGCACTGAACATACATACTTACATCTTTATTTATATGAAATATGTGTCTATGATCTTACAAGAAATCGTCATTAAAATATTCCACAACAATATAAAATGTATTACTCGAATGAAAAATAAGAAGAAAACACAAGAATAAAATTTTGCTAATTTTTTGACATCTATCATATGCTTTCTGACATTGCCATTGTTGCCAGGTACGAGATTAGTAAAAATACAGCACTGGATGGATACACCCGAAAAAATTAGTCATTTTTAAAACACTCAAAATATAAAATAAGTGATAAGCTTGTTTCGTTTTATGTTAATTTTTTTGCATTATTCACGAAATTAAAAAATGTTCAAACTATTTATAATAAGCTTATCAGCTAAAATCAATTAAGTAATCTTTAATGTACATACATATATGATATGTATAATAATTGTGGGCCATGATAGTGGTTACAGGTCGAATATAACACTCTCATTTTTATTTTTCAAACCTTTGATTTTTGCAAAAGTTATTTTAAGACATCAAACTTTTAAACCCGTTTTAGTTGAAACTTTTTTTAGATTTATGATCCATAAAAACTTAAATTTCCATAATATTATGAATCTAAAAAAAATTCATATGTTTGCAATTAAATAAGATTGCGAATTGCGTATGTACAGACTTATGAGAAAATATGTACAATATTTTTAATATAGTTTGTTAGTTAGTTTGTAAGGAGGATGTACATTAGGATGTCCCGTAGACCACTTTTTTGGAGGAATATCTCTTAAACGATGCGTATTAATGTACTAAATACTAGAAAAATAAAAAATATTTTTTTGAAAAGGTCCTCAGTTCCCTACCGGCGATTGAAAATCTTGATCTCAGTGCAATATGCTCAAAAAATATTTTCTTCAATCTTTTCGAAATGGATTTCAAAAATTCCATTATCTGAGCTTATCGCGGGAAAAATAGTTAACAGTTTTGTTAAACTATTCCTGGTCCCCATACGACTTTTAGTGTATTGTATAGGGTTATATAAATTTCAAAATAATCTAAAAAATTCTAAAATGGACCAAACCAAATGCCAAACTATTTTTTAATATTTTCCTGTATGTACACAGAGGGAAAAAGAAATATACACGCTTGGTACCAAATTGGCACCAAAGAGTTTGTAATTTTTCAATAACAACCGTTGTCAAAGTATATACATACGTACGACAACACTATGTCGCAACGTTGTCAACATTGCAACAATTCGTTGTCGAAATCTAAATTTTTTACACATACGTTGTCTAAATGTTAACAAACGTGGTAAGCTCACTATTGGCAACGGATTGTTTGCAATAGTGAACTTACCACGTTTGTTAACATTTAGACAACGTATGTGTAAAAAATTTAGATTTCGACAACGAATTGTTGCAATGTTGACAACGTTGCGACATAGTGTTGTCGTACGTATGTATATACTTTGACAACGGTTGTTATTGAAAAATTACAAACTCTTTGGTGCCAATTTGGTACCAAGCGTGTATATTTCTTTTTCCCTCTGTGTATAAACAAAAAAATACGACAATTTTGAATTTATTTTTCCCTTAATCAGCTCAAAATTACTGAATTTTTGAGACCCTCCTTAACTTATGCCTCAAGTGGGAATCAAATCGACCACCTCCTCCGGTCTATCAGACTAGAACAGTAACCTCTAACCTACCGGAGCTTATATATTTTCAATATTTTTTAATAATGTATGTACATATGTATGTATGTATGTACAAACAGACGGACATCGATAAATTCACAGGAGGGTTTTTAAGTTTTTTGTTGATATATCATATGTATGCCTATATGTATGTATGTACAGATGTGTGTACATACATTTGTAAATTATTACTTACACAGGTAGTTACTTGCATGTTGCACATAAAATTGTCGGCCAATGACATTTTATAGCAAGATCAATAGTGTGACGATGCTTCCGAAATAAATTTGTACACTTTTTTCTTTTAAACTAACGATGCTTGTAATAATGCAATTATGTATGTACTTCATACATACTATTCATAGTATTTAGGAATATACATATGTATGTACATGTACATAGAAACGTGCTTCAAATCATACATCTGTGTACACACATTTGTATATACAAATTTTGTATACATTTGTGGGTGAATACAGGTAAACGCTATAATTTTCCTCAATTCAGGTACTGCTAAATATTGCTATAATTATGTAAGTACTCTTTACAGATCTATAGTAGATTTGCGATAAAAACGCGTGTAGCTCTGTAGGAGGATTCAGTTGCATTTGATAACAATTTAAAAGTGTGGTAAAAGTAAAAGTAACATTTTATTTGAATTTAGATAAAATAACGTTAAAATGTCTCAGTTATATTTAATTTGTATACTTTTATGTGGTATTGGATACATTGGCAGTTGTGTAGATATTGAGGACATCGGTGCTAATTCAAATGAACTGGAAGAGTCTACCCCTTTAAAGTGGTTAAAGGGAGCACAGAATATATTTGCAAGTCCCACTGGTCACGTTGTAGTCCAAGTTGCAAAAGAATTAATAAATCGATCGGCCGGAAACAGTCAAGTACTTTTAATCTGGTTCTTATTTTAAATATTATAACTTTTGTGTGTTTATGTTTCCCTTTAAGGTTTTAAGTCTAAACTTGACAAATTTGTTTATTATCTTGCTTCTTAAAGTTCTAATTTTTTCGGCCGGTTTACTGGGAGCTGGTCACTGGAGTAATTATGGTTACGCTCGTTCAAGCGATAGCGGTATTATAATTAATTAATATTTAAATTGAATAAATTTATCAATTTAATTTTAGGATTTACATTTTTTCTTAATGATGACGAAGCCTATTTGATTACTGGATTTCTAGCAGCACAGAGTGGTATTGATGATTGTTTGTATGCAGCAGCTTGTGCAGCCCCTAATGTGGCTTACGAATATGCAAAAGCGGCTAAGGCTTTAGTAGACAGCATTTCTAAATATAATGGGTAAGTTGGCGAAATTTGAAATTTAAAAAAATATATAAAAGTTATAAAAAACCTTTTTATTATCAGATTCGAATTTACGAATACTCGATATATAGAATTAATAGTTTTGGTTGAAGAAGCTGCTTACAATGGATATCGCGGAATTCCCTGTAACACAACAACGACATGTGATGGTTTATATTAATTCAGTACTATAGGGTATTTTAATATTTATGTGATTCCAATTGTTCCTTTTTATCATTAAAAAACATCTGAGTACTTAATATACAATATGCAAACATCTAACAACTCAAAAAACATAGTTTCAGTAAAAATATTTGAAAAAATGCATGTAATTTTGCTATTGTGTTTTTTTTTTTAATAATTTTTGTGTTTAATAATTGATCGAAAATTAAACGATTTTTGCACGGCGTATGACCTACATAGGTACATACATATCTAGAAAATGAACAATGAACTAAAAATGTGTTACAATATTTAAGCGATACCTAATTAAGTTAATATCGAAAAATGTAATACACATTTAGCTAGATCGTATACTCAACATTAACACATTAAAACGAAAAACTTTTATTTCGTACAAATCTGTTTTATTAAATTTATTAATAATCTTTAGATAAATATTTTTTTTATTTAATTTCAAATAAAACTCTCAAAATATAATTAAACGTTATTCAATTGTGTTTTTTCATCAGTGGATCCAGTCACAGCTTTCACATATTCAGGATAATGTAGTAATCCGTCCCTATTAGCGTCAGCAAGTTGAAGAAATTCATCAATAACCTCTAGAATGACAAAAAGTATGTAATTGAAAAATATTTTACACAATTTTGTTTTTTAATAAGTTTTTGTTTTAATCGGTTTATCCGACAAATAATTAACTGTTTATCCTATTTCAAATATTTTTATGCCGTGGACATTTTATATATTAATAGACATACATTTTCGAATATTGCACAGCTTGAGTTTGACATTCACAGTTTATGGGTTAACATTATTTGATTTTACTAAATCTTAACATGTATGTACATTAGACCGACTCACAAAAAACGGTGCCTGAATTACCCCCTCAAAATATTCGTGCTTTGCTACCCTAAAAGCAAAAAAAAAAAAAAAACACTTACACATGGGAGATGCCACTCAAATTATTGCAAGTTCGCCAACTTTTCCGAACGCTAATAAGGATTTTAATGTAAGCTATGGAAAAAGTAAATAATATTGCATTGTATTTAATTCATATGGGAGGGGCCAATCCCCCCATTGAAAGTCCGCCCATTATTCTCTAAATGTTCACATGAATGTCAAAGTTTTTCATGTAAAATTTTAAGATTCTAGCTTCAACAGTATCTCAGATAAACAAATTTGTCTGTAAAATTCATATGGGGGTTCAAAGCCACCCACTGATGAAAGTCCGCTTTTTTTTCTAAAATGTTCAGATGAAAATGAAAGTCCTTTTTCCAAAATTTTGGAAATCTAGTTCTATTAGTTTCTTAGATAAAATATTTTGTTATATTTAATTCATATGGGGGGTGCCGCTCCACCATTGGTAGTCCGCCAATTTAATATCAAAAATATTTATGTGGATGCTAAAGTTCTTCGTGCAAAATTTGAAGCTTTTAACTCTAATAGTTTCCAAGATAAACGAATTTGTGTATTTAATTAATATGGGAGGAGCCACGCCAAATTTGAGGGCTCTAACTGTTACATTTTCCGAGATATACTGATTTAATATTTTCTTAATATGGAAAGTGCCACGCCCACTATAGTCATTCCTCCCATTTTGTCCAAAAATATTCTTATGAATGTCAAAGTTGTCCGTGCAAAATTTGAGGACTCTAATTGTACCAGCTTCCAAGATATATGACTTTTAATAGTTATTTAATAAGTAGGCGTGGCACCTCGCCTACTTGAAATTTTAAAATAAAAAGTAGCCTATAGTTTCTTCCAGATATACAGGAAGGTACTGTTAAAATTTCAAGAAAATCGATCCAGCCGTCTAGCCGTCTATAGACTTCAAACAAACCCACAAACAAATAAACACACATTCATTTTTAGATATATAGATGATGTTACCCAAAATATTTTGGGTTTAGTGTTGTCCGTTCGTGAGCTGGACAGTTTTCAAGAAAATATCATATGGGGGACATGATTTTTCATGTCCAATTCAATGTTTTGCCCAGATTCAAAAAATCTTTGTTTTGTTTTATGATGGTTCCCTAAATATTTCTAGTCCATCGATGGACGTTCGTGAGCTGGACCGGTTACAAAAAAGTCCCTTTTTAGTTATTTTTTAAATTTTACCGTTTTTTCTTAAACAGAATATACAATATGTGGTGTCATACGAATTTTTGAAGCCGCGTCTAGTGGTGTTTAAAATTTTCAAAATTGTGCATACATTTTATTTATATTAATTTTTTGGAATATGACATTTATGAGTAGACGGTTATTTATGATTAATACATCATTGGACGCGGCTTTAAACCCCCTTTCAAACGAAACCCCATATTGGATATATTGTTTCAAAACGATGGCCGTACGTGAGCTGGACCAATAGTCCAGCTAGACTTAAAATATTTTGGGAATCATTATAAAACAATGCAAGGTAAATTTTGATAGGGGTAACAAAAACACGTTTTTGCTTTCCATACAGAGTGAGTCGGGCATATAAATAAAAAACCCAATTAACGATTTTGAAGATTCTAACTACAATAATTATCCAGATACACAATTTGTTACATATGGAAGATGCCACGCAAATTATTGCAAGTTCGTCAATTTTTCCGAACGTTAATTAAGAATCTATGAAAAATTTTAACAATCTAATAGTTTCTCAGATATACGAAATTTGTTATTTAATTCATATGTGAGGTGCCAAGCTCCCCATTGAAAGTCCGGCCGGTATTCTCTAAATATTCACATAAATGTCAAAGTTCTTCATGTAAAATTTGAAGGTTCTAGATGTAATAGTTTCTCATAGTTGGAGGGCTCCAAGACCCTCCAGATGAAATACCGCCCTTTTTTCTCCAAAAAGTTCTGGTGCAAAATTTGAAGAATCTAGTTCTATTAGTTTCCCAGATGAACGAAATTTTGTATTTAATTCATATGAAAGGTGCCAAGCCACCATTGAAAGTCCGCCCGTTATTCTCAAAATGTTCACATGAATGTCAAAGTTCTTCATGTAAAATTTGAAGATTCTAGCTCTAATAGTTTCTCAGATATACGAATTTTTCTCATTGGTAGTCCGCCAATTTATAACCCAATATGTTTACATGGATGTTAAAGTTCTTCGTGCAAAATTTGAAGGTTCTAACTGTAAGAGTTTCCAAGATAAAGTTGGACATTTTGGTCATACAGGGTTTTATTCCAATGAGTATAACTTTTCACCTATTGGTCCTAGCAAAAATTCAGGAATTCAGAGAGCTAAGTTTTTCATGCTTTCTTTATTTTTTTTTTTTTTTTCAAAATATTAAAAAAAAATTGTTAATGCATTAACATGTTTAAAAAATTAAAAAAAAGGAAAGAATGAAAAAGTAGCTATCTAAACTCCTTTGGACAATTTTTGCTAGGACCAATAGGTGAAAAGTTTGAACGACCAAAATGTCAAACTTTGACCCCCTCTGACTCTGGCCTACTATCTCATAGTACTAACCTTAGTGCAAATTTCATCCAAATCGGAAGACATCGATTTTTAAAGTTGGGTCACTTGACTCGAAATTCCCCATATTTCTATAATAATAGAAATATTACCGAAAATTTTTAAACGTATATAAGTTCAAAACTAATTGACCAATTAAAATAAAATTTTGGATTTGAATAGCTTATAGTCTCCTAATTTAATTTCAATAAATAAATTTTTAATTCTTAATTTGGGTTTGAATAGAATGGCTTTAGTGCTTAGTCAGTGAAACTTATTTTGCATGGATATGGACGAGACTTTCGTCGATGCCAAATGTCGCTCAGATAAGATAATCTAAAGTTCCTATTTTCTTTAAACATCCTCTCATAATTGACCACTATTTTTCTATCGGACGTGATAATAGTTACTTTGTGGTATTATTTTTTCTTTGTAGAAAGTCGAATTTTTTGCTCATTTTAACTCATTTCATTTCAAAGATCATTTAATTGATTCTCTGTAATTATGAAAACTAAGTAGGTGTGGACAAAATAACGGGTTTCAAAGCATTCTTCTCCATAAATTTCACCATTGATTTAACTCCTTGTAGAAACAGGTTTTCATTGAGAACAAATTGCTGGCTTAACAAGGTTCTTTTTTGGAAATTTGGACTTTATTTTCAATTTGCAATAACGTGGACAAATACTACTTAATAATTTAATTAATATATGGAATATGATAATGTAACTAAATTAACCATTCAAAAACTATTTATTGGAATAAAATTAGAAAGCTATAACAATTGTAAGCATCTTGCATCCAATGTCATCCCCATGTTAAAATAATAACTTGAAATGCTATTGTCTAAGTTTTACTTTTCAAAGAAAGTTTTTGCTGGGGTCTCATTACATACATACAATAGCATTTTAAGTCACATGTTTGTACATCTATTTGTATGTATGAATAGTAATACGGAACTTGTTTTAAAAAAATTACTTCTAGAACTAGTGCAAAGAAAACCACTTCAGATTATTAAACAACAACCTCGTATCTAGAGATGTCGCCATTACTACTGGAACAATAATAATATTTCCACAACAGTTTCTTAAAATTAGTAGTAATCTTAATAATTTCGAACATAAACGCTTAAAATACGCTAATTTTTAATAAAGAGTACATGTTCTCCGAAGCTTCCCTAGAACTAATTCCAAGGTTTACAAATTCTAACAAAAATCACTGATTAAAGAACTAGTTTCAGAACCGTTCCAAAGAACGAATGTTGACTTCATCATGTTTCATGTTTGTGACAATTTCGGTCAAAAATCATTGGTCTCAACATATATAACAAAAATATACAGATGTATGTATGTATTTATGTATATCTCACCTATGATGTGATCCAGTTCTTCATTGGCGTTCTGAATGTAATTTTCACGATCTAGTTTTTTGAAATTTTCATCTTGATGTATTGCTGCCTGTAGCATCTCTAAACCATCCAGTGCATTGTTATTGTCACTATCGTGAATCTAAGGGAGTGTAAAATATATTAATATATTATATAAAATATGATTTGTAATATATGAAGGACTTAATGCAGTATGTTTTGGAACAAAATAATTGAATGTTTTTGAAGAAACATATTGAATGGTGATTTGGAAGACATTTTTACTGATTTATAAACATACAAACCTTAAAATAATAAAAGTTTTTTTCTTCTTCTGACATCTCATCCAAATTCGCACTGATTCCCATTTCTTTTAAATCATCCTCGATGTGACTAAAGTAAAATTAATTTAATTATTTCATATTTCATCGATTTGCATACGATCCATAAATAGTAAAAATAATATATTTACGTATATACATACATATGCACATATGTATGCACATACATATATTTGAAGTTGCAACACTTACTGCTCTTCATGCGTTAAATGCTGGTCAACTTTTCGAGTCTTTGATTGTTCACTTCGCGGGTGATGTGGACCCCGTTTTATTGCTAGACTCGAAGTAATAGTTTGACTAAACGTTGCAACACATATTATAAAATTAATAACATTTAACAATTTGCACATTTTAAATTAATTTCAAATTCTTCGTACATATGTATATTTTAATATTTAAACTACATTCTTATGTATATGTGTGTTTTGTTTTGGACAAAAGTGGTTGGTGCATTATAAAATCATGGTGGTGAAAATTGTTCGAATCTATAGCCATAGTGCGCATGTTGGTTAAAATAAGTCTTATCCAGTAAAAATTGTATTAATCAAAAATCGTAGTAGAAATTTCATATAGTTTTTAAGTTACGTGTTCCTATATTCCGTTAAAGTATTTTTAGTAAAAATTGCACAAAATAATAGTAAAATTTTGACTCAAAATATCGGCACGAAATATAGGACAATTTCTTATCAGTTTTGAAGTATCGTAAATAATTGAAATTAATTATTTTTAATCGAAAATTAAATTAAAATATGTACAGACATCAAGTGGAATAAAATGTTTTCTGTGAAATGGAATTTAAAAATAATCATTGATTCAAATTTATTTAACAACGGTAACACTTTCCACAAAATTTGATACGTTTTTATATGAATACATGTCAATGCCGAAAATCTAATTATGTACTCTATGCTGAGATTTCTATGGTTACTCTTTATAACATTGTTACCAACACGACAACTTCTAACAATATTGTTTATACATCATATTATTAGAAATTTAATAAGAACACACATTTTTCGAATCATTTTTAAGAAAGGAAGATGTGTGAAAACGTTTGTAATTCTCTGGAAACATTTAATCCCGAAGTTGAATTTCAAAAGTTTTTGAAGCGTAAGCCAATAATCCAAACGGTACAATTATATGAGCATTTACAAACTCGAGAAAAAATCAAGTGTCCAAGTGAGTACAATATAAAATAAAAATTAAAGATTAAAAAAACATTTATTTTTGCAGATAATTTTAAAGGCTATGGGGTCGAAAAAGATGATAATAAATTGTACAGAACATTTAATTCGGAATATGGATACTACGCACCAAACGTCTTTACAATACCTTCCCGTTATTTTCCACTTTCTCAAAAGTTTTCTAACGAACTTTATCGCTGTGGCATGTATCGTAATTATTCGTTAAATACTCATGTAGATCGAACATATTATTAGACTTTTTGTGGGTTTTGTTGTATCGCTATTATCGATACAAATAAACAAATTTATCAGTTTTTATGAAATGTAATATATATTACATAATGTATTTACAAAATTTGACCTTAATAAAACATATCGAAAAACAACATTTATTCAAAACAAAACAAAATTGTTATATTTGTAGTGTCTACTGATTATAGTCGCATTATTGTCAGGAAAAATACACAAACGAAAAATTTTCCACGGCCTAAGTGGATTTCGGATTTGATATAACATATAAACAAACAAACTATCTAACTTTTTTGAAATTGTAGTAAATGCGAAATCTTATTTTATCATCTTTTTTACATTATCAAAGAACAGGAAATTTTCTATCCAATAAACTTTATAATTCATAACTGTAGTTGGTACAATTTGGAGGAATATTTTAACCTCCCTATTATGTAAATGATTGTCAGCATTAAAAATGGCATTTTTTTGTAAATTCCGATTATTTTCCTTATTATTTTAAGTCGAGAAATATGTTTTAGTAAGTGTTAAAGCCAAGATTAAGTCCACACAACTCAATTTCTGTCGCCAGCAAATCGACTTAGTGTCGACAACGACTTACATACATAATAAGGGTGATTAACTGTAATCATTCGATATGTGTGTCCATTAGAAGTATCCAAAAATACCGGTCTTACAGTATGGGTCTTACGGATAACGGAACCCGTGCCGGAAATCGATAGAAAGGCTTAAAATTGGGTGTACATATAATAGAACTATTTTGAATTTCTTCAAAATAATGCAATTCAAATTATATTTTTAACATTTGGTTGAGCATTCATTTGTATACTATTTAAAATTGCAAATAAATTATTAAAAGCTTTTCAGTATTATATAATTTCTTAACTGTCTCACTTTTTATTTAGTTTGAGCACAAACTAAGAAAATTCAAACAAATTTGTTTTTGTTTTTAATTTTGTTTTGATATTTTGTATCTGGCAATTCGATTTTTTCCAAATCCATAAACCTCTTTTCAAATTCACAAACCACCCCAATAAGCAAAAACCTTTGAAATGATGTAAATATGTATTTGAAAACCTATTCAAATTTCATACATAGCCTTTGAGAACAAATTTGAAAATTTTTGTTTTCAAATGGAAAATTATGGCCTTCTCAAACAAAAAGGCAGTTAGAAATCAAACGTATTTTTCAAATGTATTTCAAATTTAAAAAAAGGCTAGAGGTAAGCTTGAAACTAAAAAAATTTTCAAACGTATTTCAAGTATTCTTTATTATTATTTTCATACATATTTCAAACCCTAATTATAATGCTAACTATTGCAAAATTCATATATTTTTTTACATCACCTGAAAATAAAACATTCATACATTTATTTTAGCACATTTTTCTTTTATATCTCCGATTATTTCTCCTATATTTAACGTTTTTTCGCTCCCTTGCTGTAGAAAAAATGTTCTGTTTTTATTTTTCTAAAATAATTTATTTTTTGAAAGAAACTTTTCTAAGTTCAATTAAAACAAAACTTTGAAAATTTTATAAATATCACACATTATATTTTTTAAGCGTTTTTTGAAATTATCATGTTTATTTCAAAGGCTAAACTTTAAAATTTGAAAACAATTTGGAAAATACATTATTTAGTTAAGAAAATTTTCAAAAATATTCACAGGTTTGAATCGATGTTTATTGGGACAGGTTGTACACATACAGCTACAGGAAGTGGTTTAAATTTTAAAGTGTAAATAATTCTACATAATTATTGTCTCCCCAATCCCCATATGTATGTATGTTCATATATTAATTTTTTTTAAATTTCGTGAGACTTGTCATTAAATTTATTTTATTAAGGTGTCCGTGTTTGGCTTAGAACCACTGTAGGTAGGATTATTATTTTTAAGTCGACTCGCTCTTATTGGAAAACTTAACAACGGTTGTCAAATCTTTGTATTCAATTATCAATAGCTTTTGACTCCATTGAACAGCTGTTTTCAGCTATCCAAGAAAAAATAAAAAACGTAAATGCGCAAAAGCCAAAAATGTCAAAATAAAAAGGTCGTGTGGTGGAATTGTAAAAATTTTTCAGTTGAGTTTAATTCCTTGAGAAGTTCACATAAAATTCGTTGTAAAAAATAAACACCAAATAATTGTTCAAAGGTCCTTTTCATTTTGCATATGTACATAAATTAATTTATCATACATACAGTTAATTGCACAAAAAATATAATTATGTTCAACCAACATACTAACTAACTTGTGAACAAATCCATAATTACATATGTAAATACATATATAAATAGAAAATAACATAGTGAAAACTTTTACATTAATCGGCAGTCATATTTTTATTCAAGTTTAACCTTGATATTTTAATGCAAACGATGAGAAAAAATTTTTATGAAATAAGAAAAAATATCAAATTCAAAATATGTACTAAATTGTTATAAAGTGATAAGAATAGTTAAAAATTGTGGACGAAAATATGTGATTTATTAAAAAATATGTACATATATGTATACATACGTATGTATATATCATGATGAAAGTCTACAAATTTACAGAATAATCGGCAAAAAATCGATGGAATTGGAATGTAAATAGTTGAAGTCTCAACAATGAGAATTCATCGTAATAATAATTTATAATAAATGTTAAAAATATACGAATAATTATTCGAATTTAAATACTTTAATAGAATTAATTTACATTTTAAAGTTATATAAAGTAAATTCTATACATTATGTGTACATATGCAAGTAGTATATACATATGTAAATACATAAGTAATATATACCTGTTCATATACATATAAATCAATTGAAATACTACATACACACTTTCATTTGTATGTATATGTATATTTACGTATGTATGTAGTGGTTGGTGCAATTATATATGTACATACATATGTATGTATATATGTCTGTAAATGGGGTCAAGGTTGCTTTTATAAAAAGACATACTTTTCCATATGCACACATACTCGTACATATTATTAAGATATGTATATAGTTGCATTTAGTTGCACGTAAATACATACATATAAAAATGTACAAAGTTACGTGTACTTATGTACATAAATACTAATTTATTTTTTCATATCTAAATACCTACCTATTTGTATTATTTTCCCTAATTTGTTTACAAAATCTATGCAAATTGCTCGTTATCCTTCCGAAAGATTTAACTTTATGTTCATAAATTTCAATAAAAATGTAAAGTTATAAAGAAATTGCATATAACTAATTAAAACTAATAAAACAGTGTTCATACGATATAACACTTGAAGGTTTAGCAGATGGAATATGGGTAAATATACAACACACGTGTATTCACATTTATGTTTTTGTTTTTTTTTTTATTTTATAAATTATTATTGCAAACATAATCAAATTAATGTACTTTTTATTCACGTTGAAAATATAAATTGTATTTTTGGTGATTATTTTTTTATTGTAAATTTTATACAAAATATCATAAATTCCTTCCGATAATACGAATACTAATTTTTAAAAAATGACAGTTCCATTTGGTTGCCAAATTTATAATTAAAAAGATTTTAATGTAAGAAACTTATGACTCACCAGCAACCAATGCACACACAAGTAATAGAAACAGATTGGGAAATGTGCGTTACAATAAGAAAATATTACATTTTAATTTATATACTCTATATATAGTACATACTATATCTCACATACATATGTACATACAAGCTATATGTCATAGCTATAATTGATATTTGATTTTACAAATCAAACTATTACATATTTTAATTATTCCTATAGGGTTATAAAGCCTTATGCTCAAACATCAAACTGGCTTGTGAAATTTATAGGACTTATTCATAAACAAATTTTTATTTTATAACTTTGATTTTTAAATCTTTGAGGGAATACGCCATATTCATTTAAAAGATTGTCCGTACATCATAATGCTTAGAACTTAAACGTGTCCCAAATTAGATAAGCATAATTTTAATAGTGAGTTCAAACAAATTCGCCTTGGGGTAACATCTCACATACTATTTTTCACAGATTGTGACTGATTTACTATTAATTTCCGTTTGAATATTCAGCCATTCCGCACGAATTGAATTTTTTAACATTGGTTTATATTTAATTCTGTATTACCGATAGAATTTTCGATTAGCGGTTTGGATTGTTATCATAAACGAACTGAAAATCGTCTCTCATGACGATATTAAAATATTTAATTAATTATATTGTCCTTCCACGATTATGATATTTCAGAAACAACCTAGAGACACTATTCCCCACCCCATCACTCTACCACCAAAGGATTTCACACTTGTTTTATGATTTGTTTAATTCACTGTATTTATGTACTTACTTTTCATTTCATTTTTGGATACTCCAAGCGTTACTTCTCCTACATACATACATACATATCTTTTTTACTTATTGTTGTTAAAAAAGAGATTTCCTAAATAAGGGCTCATATGGGGGTTAGGGCCTAGCCTTATAAAGAGGAATTTATGTACGTCTAGATCAAAGTTATTTATGTAGAATTTCATCGTGCTATTAGTGTTTATGAGTGAATTTTGACCTTCAAGTCATTTTCTGAAGGGGAGTTTGTATGGAGGCTAGGGTCAAATGAGGGTCGATCATTACAAAAATCGACAATGTCTTTTAAACTTCTATTTTGCGATTTTTATTGACATGCTGGTACATTTAACATAATTATGAGCTCAGAAGCCCTATTCAGGTGGTACAGTTGTATGGGGACTAGGCGAAATAATGTACCGATTTCAACCATTTTAATAGCGTTCGTCCTTGCGAAAGAAAGAAGAGTATGTCCCAAATTTCATCAAATTATCTTGAAAATTGCGACCTGTAGCGTGCTCACAAGCTTTACATGGATCCATAGACAGACGGACATAGCTAAATCGACTCAGAAAGTGATTCCGAGCCGATTGGTATACTGGGTGGGTGTTGTAAACATCAGCACAAACGCACAATACCATCCCCACTATAGTGGTGTAGGGTATAAAAAGTCTTTTGAAATAAAATTCATTGAATAACATCTTTAATGTAAAGTTTTTAAGTATTTGCTATTGGAAATTAAAACATACATATGTATATTAATAAGCCGATTTTTAAAGGAGTTTTTAAATATAATTACGTGGAATATATAACGTTTTCTATTATTTTTCTTTTCTATTTCGAATTAAAATCTTTATACAAAAATGCATTTTAAATGCATATAAAGTTTGCATACTGCACGGATACTGTAAGTTTCCTTATTTAATTATTATTTTTTTACGTACAATTTATCACAAAAAGTTATATAACTTGTCAGAGACGATATGATAAAAAAACACTTGAAATACAGAATGAAAAATATGTAAACACGTTTATTATTTTTTTTTCGAGCAAAATTTTTATTTTTTATTTTTATTCAATACATAAAGATGCAGTTTCATGGAACCCACTATATACTTTTAATTTAAAATGTTTTTTTTGCTTCTTCTGTTAAATTTTTGAAATATTAGAGGAGGCGATTACATATTGGGTAGTAACTATTTTTTAGGGACCAAAAAAAAATTGTTATTTTATTTTTTCAAAAGGAAAGCTTACGCAAAAAATTCCTCTATCTGATTTTGCGATTTTATTTTTTTATTTTTTAGTTCATATAAGTACGAAAGAAATTTAAAAGCAGTTTAATTTAAATAATATTTTATTTATAAAATAAATAGAAATTTTTTACATACATACATACCAAAAATATGGAACTAACTACAATTATTAAACTTGAATCAATAATCATTACGCTATTAGAAAATTCTTTGTATTAAACAATCATAAAATGTGAAAATAGTTAAAACCTAGAAATAATTGTAGAAATTTTAGGGTAAATAGTTCACATCGTCTCTGAGCGAGTTCAGGCATTTGAAATCAGTCCGTCAAAATATGTCTGCTTTCGTATGTAACGTCATTAACATAAACTCTTTTATTTCCCGTTTGTCAATGATCTCAAAAAATTCAGATGATGCTCGACCTAAAATGTGTTTTAGTGCTTCACCACCGCCACCACCAAAAGCCATATTTTCATCTAACTTAACTTTGGGTTATGAATGTAGTATTAACAATCCCAGCGTCCTCAATACCAAGTACCATTATCAAAATTACAACAACAACAATACCGTTTATAAGGAACAGTACAATATGCAACGACAAGAAGATATAAAGAATGTTAACGACTCCCACAGAGACGAAGAAACATCATCTGATTACAAGCAATGGTTGCATGCTATGAAATTAGTGGCGAGGTTACCAGGAGGCATTCCACCTGAATTTCGTCGTAAGGTAAACTATATGAATATAACCAACCATGATGTGCATACATATGGTTGTACATTAGGGTGTCCCGTGGACCACGTTTTTTTTTTTGGTCCGTTTTGGTCTGCAAAACGACTTTTGTATTATAAGCAAAAAATTACGACAATTTTGACATCTATTTCGATAAAAAGCGAAAATATATTCCTCTCCAACCCCCTAAACATCATTTTGTAGACCAAAAGTACTCAACAAACACTTTAAAATTATTTTTCCCGTAATCTGGTTAAAATTACGGACTTTTTGAAACCCATTTAAAAAAAATCGAAAATATTTTATTTTTTAAAAATAATATTGAGGTCAAGATTTTCATTCGCTGGTGGAGAACTGAGGACCATTCGAAAAAAAAAAATATTTTTTTTTATTTTTATCGTGTTCAGTGCATTAATACGTATCGATAGAGAGGTATTCCTACATGAAGTTCTTAAAAAAGCTGTTCTTTGGAACACTCTAATGTACATTAGGGTAATAACTGTTATACAAATTTTGAAAATTTCAAATCGGCTCTATCCATTCCATATAGTTAGTTAATTAGTTTGAAAGGAGGATGTATATACATCAAATCCGAAGAAATACGCCTCTATCGAGCCTGTTGTGCGCTCCTTAACCAGTGCCTCAGGTGGGAATCGAACCCACCACCTCCGGTCTACCAGACTAGAACAGTAGCCACTAACCTACTGGAGGCCATTCCAATATACGTCGAGAGTTAAAAAAGTTTCCAGCAAATGCTATATATACAAGTGTCATTGTTTGACCCACGATATTAACATGGGGAAAAGTCAAGGATGCGGGCTGCTATAAATTAATGTAAATTTGTTTGTGAATGGTTTTAGAAAATCGATTTGCCGCAGAAGGTTTTTACACCATAATGACGTTACTAGAAAACTCACTATTGGCTACCGCGTAGTGATAGGGCCTAATTTTGTTTATTAACCTAATGTACATACAAATTTATAAAATTTTACATAAGCAAATTACTTAATTGATTCACTGTATATACAATACCAATGACTACTATCTTTTTTTAAGCTGTGGCTCTCGTTGGCGGATAAATATTTAAAATCTAAAAATGTTGATTGGGCCAGGGAGGAAGAAAAATGTTTTTGTGAAAAATGGCGAGAGGATGACGAAGAATTGGGAATTCAAATTGTTAAGGTATGTACGAGAAAATAAATTCACTCAATTAAATTCATACTTATATTAATAATTTAAGGATCTCCATCGAACCGGATCTACTTTGTGCACTGGACCAGCAGGAGATTTAAATCAAGCCAAACTTAAGAAAATACTTTTGGGTTATGCTCGCTACAATCCGGAAGTTGGATATTGCCAGGTTAAATTTTAAATTCATCTTATTGATTATCCATCTATCTAACAAGGTAATTATCATTTGTTTTATACAAGGGTTTTAACATGCTGGGTGCTCTTATACTACAAGTTATGGACAAAGACGAATCAGAATCAATCAAGGTTATGATATATCTTGTTGAGGGTATTTTACCAGCTGGTTATTTTTGTGGATCCATGGGTGGATTACAAGCGGATATGGCTGTTTTTCGCGAATTAATGCAAACCAAACTTCCTCGTTTGGCAAAACATCTTCAAAAACTACAAGGTCCTATCGAAAATGCCTACGAACCTCCATTGACGAATGTCTTTACCATGCAATGGTTTTTAACTATGTTCTGTACATGCCTTCCAATGAGTTGTGTACTTCGGGTTTGGGACTTAGTTTTAATTGAAGGAAGTGATGTTCTTCTACGAACTGCTCTAGCACTTTGGAGTTTACTCGAAGAGTAAGTATATAAAACATATATGTATACCGCTCAGTGAGAAAATTTCGACAAGAAAGAAATCGGCAGTTTCAAGTGGTTAGTACGATTTTAACGAAACTTTATATGCCTAATGAGAAAATGTTACTGAGAGTATGTTATATGTTGGCCTCATCAGGGTTGGCAAAATTGGTACAATTGTACAATTCAATCCTCAAAAGAACATTGGTACACCAATGAATATTTTTGTACAATTTTAAATTTATTTCCTTATTGAAATAATAAACAGAAATTGTACTTCTGACACAAAGTTCAAAGGACTACTTAGATTAAAATACAATTCTTGTTTTTATTTTCTCATATTGTTGAGAAAGAGATTACAACCAAGGTTTTTTAAATACTATTTCGAATAGACTTTCTTTTTACTAGACTTTGGACTAGTCTAAGACTAATACAAATTTTGCTTCATGTTGAAAAAAAGTTCCAAAATGAATTGGATTTGGTACAATCGGTATCCAAAAAGTACAATATTTTATGCTGTTTTGTACAATTTGAAAATTCCATTTGCCAACCCTGGGCCTCATACATGCATAGAGGGTGCCAATTAAATATTATTTATTGAAATTGGTCATAATTTCTGTTAATAGTGAATAAAAACGTTCTTAATAGGTGAGAATTATCTTAAAAAATTTACATTTCTATTTAGGTTTAAACGACATTTTTATATATATATGCCTTTTTAAGAATTTCATGTAGGAATATTTCTCAACCGATGCGTATTAATTTACTGAACACGAGAAAAATAAAAAATATTTTTTTCGAATGGTCCTCAGTTCCATACCTCAGTATAATTTTTGAAAAATAAAATATCTTCGATTTTTTTGAAATGGGTCTCAAAAATACCGTAAAATGCGGTAAATAAAATCTTAAATTTTGTTGAGTATTTTTGGTCCATAAAAATATTTTTAGATTTAAAATTGTCCTAATTCAGAATATCAGATTTTTTAGAATGTTTTGAAATTTATATGCCCCTTATAATACAGCGGACCAGAAATACACTAACAAAAATTATAATTATTTTTCCCGCGATAAGCTCAAAATTACACAATTTTTTGGAACATATTTTACTGAGGTCAAGATTTTCAATCGCAGGTAGGGAACTGAGGACCTTTTATTTTTTTTTTTAATTTATCTCGTATTAAGTACATTAAAAGGGATCGTTTGACAGATATTACTCCAAAAAAGGTTTTACACAGGACACTCTAATATATATGTTTATACAATGTTCAGCGTTCTAACGCTTATGTATGTATATATATAAAATGTTTGCAACTTGTTTTAGGAGAGTGCTTAGTGCGCGCAGTGCTGACGATTTCTATGGAAAAATGGGATCATTTTCCAGTGAACTTTTGAATGGACATTTAATTGACTCGAACGGTTTAATTGAGAAGGTTGTGCAGTTGGGACCCATCGCTGATATACAAAAGTTGCGTGATAAACATCTCTACAGCATTGCTCCTATCCAAAACCAACAAGGACTACAGTAACTATGCAATAATGACTCAGAATAAATGTTTATTTGAATTTTTATTTTTTCATTTTTTAGATTATATTATGACGATGGCGAGGAGCCGGATATAGATGAAGATTCACGTTTGGCCGTTGCTACTGTCTGGGGAATTCCTTGGGGTCGCAGAGGTTCGCAAGGACAACAAAATAATATTGCTACAAAGCAAGCCATCGAAAATAAGGATCGAATTGCTCTTGATATCTCCCTTTTAAAAAAGCAGTATGATAAATTACGCGAAAGACAGAAACAAGCACATATTATATTAACTACAGCTTGCTCAACAGCTTCTCGCCAAAGTGCGGGTCTAAATCCATCTACAGCAACATTACCAGTGAATCAACTGTTATCTGGTCGTCCAGCAATAGTTACAAATAAGGGGCGTCGTTGTGGACCTCCTACAGGTGCAATACCACCGGCAAGAAAACCTTCACTGCCTGCAGTTCTGCACGACAAACCGCTAGAAAAACAATTTAGAAGGGGTGAAACGTTACATTGGCGGGATACAAAAGATACAAGACACAGGCGAGATAGCTTAAGCTGGAAAGAAATTAAAGCTGAACGCGCAGCAATGATTACTTCCGGCAGCATAGACGGCCTTAAATCACAAAAAATTCGAACAGGTAGACTAGGAAAAAGTGATTCATCTTCTTATAGCGAGGAGAGTGATGACAACGAAGCTGAAGTAGAAGGTGATGGTTCTAGTACAGACACAAGCCTTTGTGATGAAGAATTCCAACCAGTAGCTAATGGTTTAAAACAGCATAATGAATTATCCCAAAAACCCTCTAGCAAACCTTTATACAAACAAAAAAATAATTTACTTAAGCAACGGCACCAATCGGCAAATCGTAAAGATAATAACCAGAAGGCGAGACCAAAATCTTGGGCTCCTTCTAACAGCGAGATTCCATTTGTTTTAATGTCCACAGATTCTCCAAACAATAGTGCTGATGAAAATCCTGAATTAGAATATCGCACAGCAACAGATAACACCATATTGAAGGAAGAGGAAGACAATTCAACTGAAGGAACACAATCAAATCTAAATCAAAAAAAAATTGATGTGATTATGCCTAATTTAGAATTTTCTGCTGAAAGTCTTTCCAAAACCAAAATACCAAATGAAATAAGTAATTCAAGATCAAAGTCACCGATTAAAAGCCAAGAAATACCTTTTGTAAAGCCTACAATCGGAAGTACAGAAGAAAAAGACATATTTATGGATTCAACAAATTTTATGGGAAGTAGTGACGGCAAAGAAGACGAAATCAAAACTTTCGATATCAGTAAGGAAGGAGTCACTAATGAATACTTCGAAAGAGTTAACAGCTCAGAGCGACCCACAAAACTTGATTTGTTGTATTCACTCAATGAGGATGAAAATATACGAGACACTTTTAAAATTGAGGTTGATGAATTTGTTAAGACAAATCAGGAATCATATCTCTATACAAATGAAAATAATGTTAATAGTTCGAAAAATATAAGATGTATGGACCTTCTTGTAGACTATTCGGAAAAATCGTCTGTCGCTTGCATTGAAGAAGCCAAATCTGAAATATCAACAACATTTCAAGCATGTGATATGACAATCCCAATTCCAACAAATAAGGAATATGTCGATAACTCTACTGAACATTTATTAAAAAAAACAAAAGGAAGTGCAGAGAAAAGAAGAGATCCTAGACGCCTAACTTTAACTCGATCATCAACAATGGACATTGAAAAGAGGTATCAGGCGCTTGAAAAACGACTTAGCATGGAACTGTGTTCCAAATATAAACGAATATTACCTGAAAACGAATTTGAAAGTGTAGAAGGTTACAAAAAATATAATCAAAGTTGCACCACACATCCCAATAACATCAAAAATGTGTGCGATGATCTAAATAAGCACGTTGTTGACAATAAACGCCAAACACCTATGGATAAAAAAATACCATCAACTGCGGAGTTGGAAGAACGCTTTAAAAACATACATCAACATATTCTTAGAGATCGAAATGAACATTTAAAGTCGCCATGTGACTCAGAAAATACCGAAAAACAATCAAATATGAAATCTTCTGATATCGACAATATTCAAAAAAAATCCACAAATGAGAAAACAATTAGGGATACGAAAAAAGAAGATGACCAGAATGACAACAATGACGAAGCGGAAATCGGAAAAATATTGGGAGAACAATCAGATTCTGCACCAAAGTCTTTGACGTTTAATGAAATCGAAGATGTGAATTCCGACAGCAACATTAACACTGTGCAAACTTCTACAAATCCAAGTTCTCAGAATATAGCCCCAAAGACTAACGCATTGCAGACCAAAAAAGAACCACCTGACGATAATGTAGATGAAGATTCAATTTGTATTAATAGAACAGCAGTATCGACTACAAATAAATCTACCGTCGAGATTGAAGCAACTGCCAAAAGGAGAGGAAACAATTCTGAAGAATCTGAGTATGTCTCAGAAGAAAACATGCGTACATTTAATTCAGAAAAAATTCACGAGACAGTTAAAGAAACACAAGAAGATTCTAAAAGCAAATCAAATCGAACATCACCCCCCACAACGGAGGAATTAGAAAAACGATTTTCAGCTTTGGAAGGACAAATGAGTTCCACTAATATTCAAGAGGATAAACATACAAAATCTAATGTGTCTTCGGAAGAAACTGAAAAACATGGAGTAAATGTTTTAATGGCGGATAATAAAGCATCAAGTGACACTGAAGCCTTAGCAACAGATACATCAAATAATTGTATGTTATCGTCATCAGATCTAAAGACAGATTTAACAAAATTTAAACAGTTATCTGAAAAATATACAAAGCGACGATTATCCGAGCCCCCTACTACTGAAGATCTAGAAAAAAGATATGAAGTTTTGAAACGACGGATGAGTTCACGAAATTTCGAGACAAAATCCTTTCCAAAAGATGGATTTTTCGATGCCCCACAGATAACACATGAAATCGCTGTAACTGAATCTCCCACTATGTTAAAAAGCACAGACATTATAACACAGTCTGCAAACAAGAGTTCGCCGCCATCAATTGAAAATCTAGAAGAACGTTTTGAAAAACTGCAAAATAAAAATGAATCAAAAAGCTCATTTATTAAACAGTCTCCTCCTTCAACGGAAACTCTGGAAAAACGTTATGAAGAACTACAAAGTAAAAATGGTCAATTGGAAACGCAGAAGTCAACAAATCCCGCGGAAAAACAAATTCCACCTAGTGAACAAGAACAAGTATCTGAAAATGAAGAAATGCAATATAGTAACTCATTGGCTAAAGAAACTATAAGTGATTCAACACCTAATTATATTGAAACCTGTGAGGATGGAACACAAACCTCTGATGAAAATGATACGGATGTAAAGCTTCCTATAAAAACAGAAGAAATATCAGACAAAAAAGAACATATTCATAATATAGCTGACAATGCTAATCAAATAAAGGTTAAACTCATTGAGGAATTACAAGCGAAAATAAAAGAACAATCTATAAACACAGATATAGAGAATAGTGTTGAAAAAAAGACCGCGCTTATTGAAGAGCTTAAAACTAAAATTAAACCCATGACAGATATGATTGTAAAGCCAACTCACATCACTACTAGTCGGCGCTCACCTGCTCAAAGCTTTATTTTACCAAGTCAAAGTTTCAACGATGAAACCTTGGAATCACATGCGACTTCCGCTTATAGCAGATCGGGAAAATACGAACCTGCAAATACATCTAATCGAAAAATGGTTCGTCGTTTTTCCGATTTACCCTCAAGAGCCGACCTTGAGAATCGTTTGCAGTTCTTGGAAGAACAACTAAGCAAAACGGTATGCATGCAACGTCGTTCAAGTGATTCCGAAGTAGCATCGAAAGGTAGTCATAAGCATAATGTTCCACTAAGTGACAGCCTAGAGTATCGTGTCCAAGAATTAGAAAAACGTTTAAATGAGAATAGAAGCCTCTCAACGGATGTGGAGCGTACAAATACCAAAGAGAAAAACATAAGTGAACCCAATGTTGAAATTTCTCAGATAGAATTGGCTACTGATAGTATAGCTGTGACAGGAAAAGAATTAGTTCGTTATTCTTCCTATGGCGAAGTGGGAGATACTGAACACCAGAATCCAATCAATATTAGCATAAATATTCAAATGACACTTAATAAAGATGATATTGGCAATAAAAAAAATCCTGATGTTACAAAGACCGATGAATTAGATCGGCGACTCCAATTCTTAGAACAACAGCTTAAATCATCACAAGAGCAGGAAACTTTTGAAAATGCTGCGGTTGATGTTAAGGAAAGCATAAATGGAAAAGAGCAAAAAGATATCTGTGTGGCAGATAATACCCATCAATTTGCACAAACTGAAGAATCACATGAAATTATAGATAAAAGTGAAACATCAGAAGTTAAAATCCTCAATAGAAATAATATAGAACCACTAAATATCATTCAATCTAGTGTCATCGCTGAATCTACTAAAACCGCAGAAAATGTTTATAATAAAAATATCACAGAAAAGTTAGAGGAAGAAAAATCAGACCTCAAAGTGGAAAAAGTTACTGATAATGAAGATAATAAAACAACTGAATGTAGCGAAAAAAATATTGAATCGACAATGTCGAAAATATCTGACCCTGGCGAAACAACTAAAAAACTATGTTCAGAGACTCAAAAACACAATTTAACAGAAGTTGATAATGTTGATGATCAAGTGAATAAAGAAAATTTAAAGGCACATCTATCTAAGTCCCCAGATAAACCTAAGATAGCAACTACGTCGATGGAGCCAAAACAAGAAATTTTAAATGATAATAAAAACGATTCAAATGCTATTGAAACTGAAACTCAAATTGACGAAATAAAGGATGCAAAGGAACTATTAAAAAGCAACTCTCAATCTACGCCACAATCAAATAATATTGCGGAATCAAGTCAATTGGAACTAAGCGAGGGGGAAAACATTCAAAATTATGATAATTCTGAAAACATTAAAAAGTCTGAAATAGACTCATCAAATGTTCACACTTCCACCCAATTTGTACCCGTAGAAGTAAACAAAAAGACGTTGGTTTTATTATTAGACAACGAACCTAAAGCAGTTAAAGTGCGTCGGCTTACTCGGGCAAATACTGAAGAATTGGAAGATCTTTTTCAAGCACTTGAAAAACAACTTACAGATCGTGGTCAAGGGAAACATGACGATAAAAAGGCAATGCCTAGATCAAATGAATTATCACAAGATGAGATCGAGACAACAAAAGCAATGTCAGAATTAGCAAAAGAAATAGAGGCATTTTCTAAAAGCGAATCAGATCAAAGTGAATACGATGATAAACTTAAACAAACAGCAAAGAAGCAAAAGAAACTGGAGGAGGATTTTGATTGGGGAAATGATCCCATAAAATACCACTTGAAAAAAAGAACAGTATATTTACCTTCAACTAAAGAACTTGAAGCAAGATTTCGGTCATTAGAACGTCAAATAAAGCTTCTGGAAGATGTGGAAAAAATTGATGTAGAGCAGCGCCTAATAGAAATTGAACGCAAAATAAAACTGCAATACTCGTTATCTCATGAAAAAGATTTAAACAAGTTCCTGGAGTTATGCGAAGGAAAAGATGTCGATGAAATACCAACAGCATCAGAAGATCGAAAAGAGAGTAGTAAAGAAGTACAAGATGATCAAAAATCTATGACTAAACAAACATCCCCTTCCAGGCAAATGGAACCAACACCATCTACTGGTAGTCTCGAATACCGATATCGCGCACTAGATTTAAAACGATCAAAGTCAAAGCAAAATCTTAAAAAGCAACCAATTCATCCTTTAGAAATGCTTCTTGACCCAAGTCCAGATGATATTCCTACCACTGGTGAGTTGGAACATCGAATGCGTGTAATGGAAGAAAATCGATACACACCATCTCCACCATCAAGAAAATCGCGTTCACAGTCACCCCCAGCTAAAGGTCAACAATATAAAACCAAACCAAACATACATATTTTGGAAACAATGACGGCAAGTCCTACAGAACGAGAACTTCCAACAGCAGAAGAATTAGAGGCACGTTTAGAAGCATTAGAAAGAGAACAGTGCTTCAACTTCAAAATGCAGAAAAACTTCCAACAGTTTAACCAAAAGCTTAAAGATGTTGTTTCGCCATCCCTATCCTTCGATGAATTTAAACCGCCAACAAAATCCTGTGAATCTGAACATTCCAAAGTACAAAGTTTAGCCCCAAAACAAATTACCAGTGTTAATACAGTTAGTCCCAAAACAATACGTTTTCGCAAAGAAGATCAATCTCAACTTTTACTTAAAAAGGACAATGAATCCATGGTAAGCAACGATATAATATAAATATTAAATAAAACTTCCGAAATAATTCGTCATATTCTTGTGAAGACTCTTGCAGATTCCCAGAGTAATTCTAAAGGGTCTCAACAAACGACGACCGCTCACGAGGGGCTTGGCGTTATGGGGATTCGTTTGATGAGGGTAATTCATATTTAGTTAATTCTAAATTTAAATTAATTAATATTGTGTAACTTTAGGAAACATCGCCTCTTCGACGAAAGGGAACGCACACCGGCATACCACTGCGTACTGGAGAAAATATAAATGATCAACTGACATCCATTCAAAACACTATAAAGTCAATTGACAGTCTTTGTGAGGAAAAGCCTTATCGAAAAGAAAGGTGTCAGCAATATATCGATGCTCTATTCTCAGACTCCACATATTTCGCTCATAAAAAATCTTCTCTCGAAGATCTCACTTCAAGAAATCTGAGCCGATCAACATCGCGTGAGATTGGACCCTCTATTCGAATCTCTGATCACAGCCCAGCCTTCTCTCGTTCAATGGGATCAGCTGATTCAATTCGATCATCAAGCCCCTTGAGATCGTCGAGCCCACTTCAGTACCGTTCCAATAGAGACCTCCGGCGTGAACCTTCTCCTAGACGTCGACGAGACGAAGATCGTGAAGAGCATGAAAGTAGGGTAAGACGTGATAATCTATTGCCAAATAATATTAACTATAGTAATAGCATATTAAGCCATACTAGTCATAGTAGTTTAACTAAGTTTCATAAAGTAGATAGCCAACTAATTCCAAACGATGTTGAACACGAACTAGAAGAAAGCTTACGAACTCCGACATTCCGCTCAACTGACAACTTAAAATACGACAACACTAATACCTCAAACAACGTCAACACAACACAACAACGCAATCTTAATGCGGAAGCAACAACAACCGATCCCTATAGGAGCCTTCATTTGGACAGGCCTATATCTCCATTCCGACAAACTATCCTTCCAAGCACAAACACTCCAGTCTACACACCAGCCAAATTAGAAATTCGACATACAACTGTAACGTCTACTTTCTACGATCGTGTTCTTACTGAAAAACAGTTGGAAAAACAAAATCATCACTCTGTTTCAACCCCAATTATATCCCCGTTGTTTGAGAAGCACGTAAAGCAATCCTTCAAACAACAAACTAACAAATCACCACCCAAACTTTTACATACCGATTCGAACAATACACATTGATTCTTACTTATGCTTCTTCTACAGGTAATTATCATTGTACCCATCAACTATCGCACATTCAGAATAATAATAACGTCAAATATGTCAATTGATACTTAGTGAAACATTTAATTCATCTTCTAAGTTTAAAAACCTCTACATTTCATTGGCTCCAATCCAATTTAAGTCATTTCAGAATATTATAATAAATAAATAATTTTGATATAATCATATTAACAAAATGCGCATTTCCAATTAGTGCAACAAAATTGTTCACATTACTACCTAAAATACCCATAAAGTTCTAATATTGTTTTAAACTTAAAAATTTTCTCTTTCAATAATTATAATAATAAAAATTAACGTAATTTGCTTTATTACTTATTGTGGTGTTGTTCATAAATACATATTTATGTTTTAAATTATTTTTATACGCAATGAATGCATGAATTATGTTTTCTCATTTTCTTCCTTGAAGGACGCTTAATTTAATCTAGTTAAATATGTACTTAACTGCATCCCATTTCTCTTGTAAAATGCTGCATTTTTTATAAAAACAATAATGCATTTTGTCTCCTTTAAATTTACGCTGAAATCAATGGTGATGGTGATTACAATGGTAATAAACGTGCATACATACATAAATATGTATATTTAAACAGATCTGCCTGTATGATAATTTGTATTGAATGTATTTATTTAAATATATTGAAGTCACTCGTCAATGAGAGCAAATACTATCAGAGAAGTATTTATTTCTTTTTACACATACAGTAATAATAGTTGCACCATTAGAAATATGTTTGATAACTTTTGCTTAGAAATTTTTATATAGTTATGTACATATTACTAGGTTTGCCGGATCTGATTTTCATGTAAATCCAGACAATTGCTAGAACTGTTTATATCAATAAATAAACAAGATTTTAAGAGTCTACAAATCTACTTCAACATATTGTTTAATTTGTGCATTTGTTACGATCGAAAGTTGAATTACTACTAAAATTAAACAAATATGTTAAAACTTTAAAAAACAATAACTTTTAACAAATTTGAATCCCACTTTGAAAATTTGAGGTATTTCATTCACCAAAAGTTGTCGTTTTCCTTTTTTATGAAGGAGAATAGGAAAAATAATTCTACTCTTGATCGGAATGGAATTTTGTGACTGGCCCTATAGATGTTCGTAGATTTAGATTTCCGACAGAGTAAAACTGATTCAAAATTTTGCTATACTTTTTTAATTATTTCAAATATCCTAACAAATTGTTTTTAGATTTGATTATTTAATGTCCTTTGAAACAATTGTAACACAAACCGTTTTTCAATATTTTTTGATATCACAGCCATTTCAAATACAAAACAATTCTTAATAATATAAATATTAGAAAGAGCAACTGACAAAAAATTTGGAATGTCCCTACTCAATCTCAAAAAACTGCATAAATTTATCGAATCAAACCATTATCATAATATTTCGTTTTCATTTGAGCTTTAAACGGATTGTTTCGTTATTTTAAAAATATAAACTTATGTTATCTCAATTTGCCTTAAGCTTTTTAAAACAGTTTATCTAAACTATTATAAACGGAGGGAATATTGCTAATATGTATTAAAAACTTTAATAAAATTGCATTATCACATATACATACATATGTACATATATAGAGAAATATATGAACATACGGTCAAATAAAACATTAAACTTTAAATTTTATGTAGTTTCTTAAAAACGACTGATCGATCAATTGTTTATTTGCTTCTTAAATTAATTAATACCAATATGAAAGAATACCAAACATGTAATAGAATAAAATGGAAAATATTTTCAAAAGATTAAAAATGAAATTAAATATATATGTATATTACGTAAAATAAGACAAGAATAATATTTATTATTTATTTGTTGTTAAATTGTTACAGTTTCAAGTTTTAAAATTGAAGTATTTCAAACTACCGTTACTTTAATAAAATTAAAAATTACATACACATATAAATAAATATATAAATATGCAATTAGTATTAAACTAATTTTCTCTTATTAGTTTGATTCTAAATATGTTGAACTAAATATTTCTTTTCTACATACTAATTTCGTATGTATGCATTATTGTATTTACTATGTATTATACTTATGTATAATTAATAAAAAAAAATAAACTTTTATTCAAATAGCGCTATATTGTATTTATTAGATATTTATAATCATAAATAAAATTCTGAATTAAAAAATTAAAACAGTGTTATTAATAAACGAATGACGGTCAAACTGTCAACGCGCAAGTACGACCGGACGACCGTCTATATAACCCTACACCAGTTTTGAGTATGTTAAAAATGTAAGTTATTTTTTATAAAAAAATGTTTTAGCAAATATTTGAACAATTTGTTGATAAAAAGTGGAATTTTTAGTGGTCTATTCGGATATGCTGTATGTATGTAGATTAGGGTGGTCCCGTTTGTATGGAGGAAAAATAAGGCGTCAATGTTTCCAAGTAAAATTAAAGTTTAATTGATTCTAAGATACCGTTTCTCAAAATTTTTATCCTGGCGTCAATGTCAATGAGCTGGATCAAAGGATCTTTTTGAGGTTTTTATGATTTTTTTCATATTTCATCCAAAGGAACAATATGAAATTTTGGTATCATTAGAAAGGTCCTTGAGAGATGCTTCAATAGCATAAGAAATTGTGTAACAGCAAGATTAATCAAAATTTTCTAATTTTTCGGAAAATTATTAGATTTTTTACATTTTAGCACAGATGCAATTAATATAATTCGTTAAAATTAATACATAATAATAATAAAATTTACCGAAATAATCCTGAATAAAATTTACCGAAAATGTTTTCCTTTTTTGGAAATTCAATCTACATCGAATTCTATTTGAATTTATCAAAGCCTATGTACGCTACTAAAACATTGCAAAAAAATGTAAACAACAAAATACAACCCTTATTTACAAAGCAAGCATAACAAATACATAAGTAAATGTTTAGGATAAATTGTGTTTATATTTTAGTTAAAGTGAAAATTTTGAATTATAATTGAATGAAACCATAATGTGTAATATACAATTGTAAAGTACGTTAGAAAAATATAGCTAGCAGAATACCTAGGAGAAAATAAATTTTAAAATGTTTAAATAAAATACAAAACATATCGAATATCAAAAAACAGAAAAAACCATTTCGGTGAAATTATATGAAGTTTATAATGTAGTAATTTCAATTAATTACATTAAATATTTCTATGTAAAAATTTGAAAAACTTAAAAAGTTACCGAAAAATTACGACATTATTATTATTTATTTATTTAACAATATTCAATAACCTAGCCTATAGGCCATAAGCGGTTACAAATTTCTACTTCACAATAATTCTTCCAATACAAATTACAAAAAAATTATTACAAAATTTTGGAGTTCTATGCAAAATTTTGTTATGTAATTGAAGACCTTTCATGTCTCCCAAAGACGTAACCGACAAAAACTAAATTTTACAGGAGAGAATGTTGTTTAATTATCTTCGAAGTAGGACATAGCATTACTCCAAAACTCCGTTATTAAATATTATTACATCTAAAATATAGGATGCAGTTTGTTTCGATTTTATATTGACGCTATATCCGATTTTTTTGTCGCTTACGTCTTTTTTGCCGAGACAAATTTTTATGATATAAACAATGTTGAGGCGGTTACGTCTAAATTCTCTGTCTAAAAAAATAATTTTTTGTGTATATCTTTATATAATTTGTATAAATCTGAAATTTAAGAGTGTAATAAATATTTTTTTTTATAAGATTTTAAGATCATCTAGCGATGTCTGTATGTCAGCTAGAGTGAAGAAATTCTTCAAAAATGCTTATTGATGACAAATATTGGCAAAATCGGTTCATGATTTCACTTAGCCTCCATACAAGTGCCTCCCGGATTATAGTTAAAACATTAATAAATATGTTGCTTATGTATCTTAAAAATATCAGTATAGCAACGAAATTTGATGTATGATGATGTTTTAGGATGGGTTCCTATGCCTCTCATACAGAAAATAAGTTTACAGTTAATAAATCTTTCAAAAATTAAGAAAGTATGATGAAATTCTACAAAAAACATTTGTTTTCAAAACTAATCACGCGTTTAAATTCTCCACAATTGAACAAATCCCTCGTTAAAGGCCGTATTCTGAAAATCACCCTGATGTCCACATTAATATCCATACATGGTAGTACAATTCGCCATATATCGAATAAATAAGTAAATTCTGGTACTATTGATTCATTAAGAGTCCATATGCAGTTCCGCCTTCCGAAATCCAAAAATTTACAACCAAATATAAGAATTGGTTAAATGGTAATAATATAAATGCAATGTAATTTATAGAAAATTATAAATTTCAACACATAAATTGTAATGGCATAGTGATAATTACATGAATTTATTACAATTATACTCAGATATGTGGCATTTCATTCACAAACAAATTTAATACGTAAATTTGTTCAAAATTTTTCTATAAATTTAATATATTTTAAAAGAAAATTTAGACGTAACCGACACCTTGCTGTTACAAAATTCATAAGCAGAAAATAAATGTGTACTTACGTTCTTTTTCTTGTAAAGTTGAAACCATTGGATCTATAGCTACGAAATTTTCAGAGATGATGCTAATAGACCTAAATTATCGATTTCTATAAAAAATCGAAAATCAAGTCGCTTACGTCCATTTTGCAAAAAGGGCTCGATATGGTACTAAATTTGCATATGGCTTATTTGCCAGAATTATAAAAATCATAAAGACTTAAAAAAAGAACCTTTTTGTCCTTTTTGTCAGGACAAAAATTTTGAGAAATGGTATCTAAGAATGAACTAAATTTTCATTTTCGGTAGGAACATCAGCAACTTCCATACAATGTTCGTACAAAGTAACGTTGTTGCTCTATTTAAAAAAGTCATTATTTTTTAACCCTAAAATCTAAATTAAAAAGAGAATTTCCCATATTTAATAGTTTTCAACCAATTCTTTTTCACCTTTTTCTTTTATTGTTCAAATAACGTTATTCTCCCGTTTGTATTTCCTTGTTTACAAAAACAATATTTCCATTTTGCAACACATACATACATACAAAAACATAGAATACTTTTGTGAAGCTATTTTTTGCACTTTTTTTAAAAAAGGCTAAATTAGTTTAAGTAAATTATTTTTTAAAAATTTTTAAAATGTGATATAAAATTTAAGGTCTGTCTGGGCAACATAATAAATTTATTTATTTATTTTTCCCACAAAATCTATTATAAAATGATGTCTGTTTTCATAATACATTAAATTCGAATACTTATGAGAGACACTGTACATATTTACATACATACTCTTTTTCTTTATCTTTTTTGATTATTTTTCACAACTTTTCCCCTTAGAATTTCTTCAAACTAAACTAAATTTTGCTTTCCAAACTCTCCCACTCCTCCCTTTGATTAATGCCTTCGTATGACTTAACAAAACGAATGGCCCGACAAAAGAAAACCACCGAGCGGCGCTCGGCCTAACGAAATTGCATTGGATTCTTGGCAAATTAAAACACTTATTTTAACTAATAATTTAACACTTTTTTATAAACATTTTCCTATAACGGTATTTATAAACGATATATATTCAACGAAAATATTTAAATATGTATTAACAATTAATTAACGCTTTAGATTAATTTAAACAGGACCATTAACACTAATCAACCGAACACTTTAGACATTTTTAGCGACTAAAGATGAAGACAAAGAACTAAAGCAACAAATGGTAATAGAAATTGTCATGGTTGTTGTTATTAGTACTCCATTTAAAGAGCAAATATCTAATAACATTAACAACAACCGCTTTTTGTTATTGTTCCATTTTATTAGTTTTCTTAATATTTTTAAAAGTAAGCTAAAACGTTAATTAATTTTTAATAATAAAATATTTTTGTTGTATAATATTAAACAAATGTTAATTTATATCGGAATATTAGTGAATTAGTGATGAATGATAAAATTTTAAATGTTGTTTTATATACTTCTTTCTGAATACGGGCCCAGGAATGAAAAATTTAAATTTTGAAATAGTACTAACCAGCTAGCATTTGGAAGATTGTTGGATGATTAATCAGTAAACTTAGTCTATTTTGACTCCTTTTGATGACCTAAAAATGATTCACCCCTATTCAGCATTTCGATTACGTTTACGCATTCAGTTACGCAACGATCGAAAAAAGGTATTCCAACAAAAAACTGAATCGTAAGAAAAAGAAGAAGCAAGTCCATTTCGTTTCAATGCTTTACGACTGTGTGTATTCTGCGTTACGATCGTAGCTACGTTTTTGTAAGTTGTTGTTTATG